TTTATTTTTAAACAAGATACATCATTTAACTATTATACGAGGGGCCTAGAATCAGCCACATATAAAAGAAATGAACAGCCCAGTTTAAATCCTGTAAAGACAGTAAAGTTATATACCACAACTGTTGAACATGGTGAATTGGCCAGAAGAGACTGGAACTATTGAAACCAAGATTATATTGTGAGAAGAAAACATTTATTATCTGATAGTTAAAGGATATTTCTCTAGATGATAAGAAGAAGATACATCAGACAGGAATCAAGACATTCCAGCAAAGTTTAGGAATGTGTTGATAGACTTAGACACCTGCCTGAGCTCTGTGGTCTCCTGGGAAAAGCAATAATTCACACTGGGAGGTAGGATGTCCCATAGTCAGGATAGATGTCTCTGGGTAAGGACAAAAAGCTTGAGAGGGCTTTCTGTGTGGGAACATCTTCAAAGAGCTCTTACAGTGGTGTGTTCACAGACTGGGACTGACCACATTCAGTGGGCTTCAGTGCCCTTAAGAACCCACTGCCCTGAAATTTAGAATCACAAAGTAATTTGGGGAATCACGCTGGATTACATTACTGGGGCCTTTATAAAAATTTAGGTTGAGTAGAAATATATGTCTCAAGAATTCTGAGACAAGTTGGGAATTTTAGTGGTTTGCTTTTATTTTAAAAACCAGGGAAAAACTTTAAAATATATTAAGTATTTTGTTTCAAGTCAACACTTCTCTAGTCTTAGCCATTTTGCTTTTGCTTTCTTTGCCTGCCTTGACAATTTCTCAGTTAATATTTTTTATTAAACAATTGGACTTAGTATGAGGCTGTTTAAAACATACTTAAAAAAACTATATCGAATTACTGAAAATGACTGAATGTACAAGATTAAAAAGCTGTCAGATCATTCTATGAAAGGGGAAAGAAAAGAATTACTTGAAAGCGGTTCTGTTAAAGATATCCACGACATATTGTTACCTGAACAAAAGCAAACTGCCAACAGTATGTATAGTCTGACCCCATTTAAAATGATGGATAAATAAATAAAAGCATTATACATGTACACAGTATAAATAAAGTATAGAAAGACACACCAAAATTATTTTATGTTAACAATACTTAAATACAAGTGGTATATTTGTGAATGAATTTTGTTTCTTCTTTTTACTTGCATTTTTCTAATTGTCTATAATTACTGTGCATTAATTTGAAAAAAAAATAATAAAAATGTATTTAAAAATAAAATGGCTCATTTTCATATAAATGCCCGTTGGCATGGCTCAGGATGCTAGAATTGATGACTCATAGGGATCTGACTGCTGTATTTCGGGATTTGTGTGTGTGTGTGAGAGCCTTGGCAGTTTACTCAGATTGAATGGGGCAGACATTTTGCTGGTGGAGCTTAGCACTTTAGGCTCTATCCTCACTCCACCCAGATCCTCAAGAGTACATACACCAAACCCATACATATCTATTGGCCTGAGTCTTCCACCAGCATGATTTATTTTGTGCAGACCCTAGGGTGAGGCCAGGCCATGTTCCACCACTGCCTGATTTTTCTTGACCCCCACTTTGCCTAAGTGGTTCCTGAGACAATACTATTATAGGCAAGTTGCAATTCTAAGACCAGGACAAAGGTTCAGGGATTTAGTACCAAGTCCCACCACACGAAGGATAAGACAGTCAGTATTGACTCAGAAGCTGGGGGAGGTGGAAGAGCTAGGCCAGGAAGAGGCTTGGAGAATGAGTAGGGAGCCCAGAGGTATTGCAGCTATCATCCTTCCATGTCGAATGGCCTTCGATGAGGCTGTCTTACCATTACCGTTCTGGAAAGCCAGCTTGCCATCTTAGCAGAAAAGGCCTCACCATGCACGCTGTGCTGGATCCCCACCAGGCAGCACCCAGTATCTGGTTTATGGCTTCAGAGGTAAGCAGAGGTCCAAAGACCATGAAAAAAGCAGTATGTTTGAAAGCATTCAATATGAATATTGAAATCAATTCAAGGAAACACCGTTAGAAAAGCCAAAATTTTGCTGAACTCATTGCATTCATTTTATAGTTAATATTGTTTTTATTTTAAATTACAAATTGGAGGAAGGGCAATATAATCTCAATATTTACAGCCGTGGAAATCCAAATCTGCATACGTGAAACAGATCACTGGCCCTGTGATGTGAAGTCATGATGACCCACATGCTCTTCCTTTTTGCACACATGCACAGACACACAGGCACACACAGCCAAACTAACTCAAGAATTTCTCATGGTAAAATTTTATCCATTTAATTTAAAGTTTTGGTCCTTATGCAAAAATGCAAGTACTTGCTAGGATAGGTAACACAATAAAGCCTTGATCCTGGGAAGGGAACACGAGGATGCCGAAAAGCAGCAGTGGAGGAAGGGAATGGGGACTTCAAAGACAGAGACCATCTTCATGATTTACCTGCATCTTTGGAATAAGCTTTATGCTTCCTGCAATCCTTTTACAAAGAAAAGTGCAAATAATTCTGACGGTTTCCCTATGCCTTTTAAGAGTTGGTCTCAAAATAATTTTCTTTCCTAAAGAAGTAAAGCAGATGATAATAAGCACATGGTAAATAGTTTCTTGCTGTATGCAAACACTCTGACCAAAATGTCCTATTTTATAACTCATTCAGGATGATATATATATTTCTTTTTAAAAAAAAAGCAGAAATAGGGATATTTTGAAGAAAGAATGATGAGGAGTTGGAGAAATAATTAAAATTCTGTATTTTCATTATCAGTTTCTTAATAAAAACTAAGCTTTGCATGAGTAAAGGCATTGTAGATTTTTTCTTTTTAAATTTCAAGATTAAATTAATTTCATGTATATCAATTCATTACTTAAAAGTTTACATGTTTGCATATAATTTGGAGAGCTTTACATTTCTGTATTAATTTAATAGTTCAAATTAGTAGTTATTATATGTCTTAGTCAAATGCAATAAATATTAATAGTCATCATGCCAGTGATGAGCCTGGAATGTAAAATACTATTATGAAATTCAGAAAGGACATCCAACTTTAAAAAGCATTGAAGCTTATCGTAGAATCATTGGCAGTGACGGTCAGACACAATCTTGGACGTTTTGTGTAGAAAATTAATTTCCCTAAATACCTGTCCTTATTTTAAAATTTAAGTATAGGAATTTTGGAGTATATTTTCCCCATGTTCAAGTGATCCAAATTTTACAGCTACAAAAATAAACACTTATTAATTACTTAACAATAGACTTCCTTATATATCTATCATACCTCAAATCTCTTTTCCACGTACCAGTTTTAAACTCCAAGGCACCTTCTATGAATATTCTTTACATAAATCATATATACCCTTCCATGCACTCTTCAACTTAATAGTTACCATATTCTCAGTCTAACCAGTGTGCTTGGGCCCTTTAAGAATTAAAATATGATTAAAAATACCTTCTCACAGGACTCTCATAAAGATTAATGGAGACTAAATAATAGGAAGAACCCAATCTAAGTCTTTGAACATTGTAGGGCTATGCCGGGTTTTGCTCTTAACAAGCCATCTCAACTCAACTAATGTGGGTTAAAGTGGAGATGCAGCTCAGACCCTGTGTCCCAAGCTTAGGATTCTTTTTCTCAATCTGCTGGGTCCATCCTCTCAAGGAGAAGTGGGGCAGAGGGGTAGGATTACAATTGCTGATTATAGAAAAGTGTCTGGTTCCTTTCTTTCCATTCTTCATATCTCGTCTTATAGGTTCACTTTATTTAAATCTGAGGGCAATCTGAGTGAATTAACATGCAAGAATTTTACATTTTTGTTTGTAGGGGAAAAACGATCTCTGGGCCCACTTTTCACACTTTATCGCCCAACTGGGAGGCCAAATTGACACTGTTACATCCATGGGCTTTAGAGTGGGCCAGACGTGTGCCCTACCACTCATTAGCTGTGTGACCTTATGCTGTCCAAGCCTCTCTGTTTTCTTAACTTTAAAATGAGAATTATAATAACAGTGATGATTATTGCATGGAATTTTGTCAGTTTGAAATGAAATAATGACTATAATGCACTTTGTGTCAAGCTTGACACATACTGAACATTTTAAACACGTCAGGAATTGTTAAAACTACTCTTTTACTAAGTTATAAGATGTGGTAGGAGGGAATAGATAAGTGTGGCAGACAATTGGTTGGTTGATCTAGTCCCATCCACACCCCTTGTCTCTAGTCACCTTCCAATGACTGGTGTGGGGATGTCAATCCAGGTAGGGCCAATGAGGTAAATGAAAAGCGTTCATAAGGGGAAAGACTTGACTTTTGCCATTCTCTCCCCTCTGTTCCTGCTCAGAGATGGAACAGGAGTGAGACAATAATTACGAGGACAGAAGCTAACACGCTAAAGATGGCGGAACGTGTAAGACAGGAAGGGCTTGGATCCTTGATGACACCACTTAGTGGCCAGATACCCTGCCCTGCCAATCCCTGGAGAAAAATAAACTCCTGTCTGCTTAAGCCACTACAGGAGTGTTTATTTTCCACTGAAAATACTTTTAACTAATAAAATATGTCAAAATTAGAGGTGAGGGTCAGGGAGAAAGACAGAGAGAGAAGAAGGACAAAGACAGAGAGACAGAGTGAAACTGATTTCATGAAAAACAGTGTTTAACTTCTTAAGAATAAACACCTTTCAATTATCAATACTATGTATTTCATTATCAATTATCGATTATATAATCAGGAAGTTGATACGATGGCAGAAAATACCAAATAAAAATTTCCATCATTCAAGAGATTTCCTGTGCAGAAAAATAAATCCATTTTATTCCTAACCCTAAACACATTCAAGGATGAGAGAAATATATGACAGTAGACAGGAAATTAAATCTGAGGAAAGGTTGCCTAAAAACAGAATAGACCATGTAACTGTCAGAGGGAAAAACATTTTTTATATATATAAAATATGCTATTCAAGCCTCTCGGAGTGGAAATGTAAATTTCTACTCAATATTACTGAACTTCTTTTTTTTTTTATAAAAATACCACCAACTTAGAAATTTTTATTTTTCCTAAGATATACAAATAGAATTAACACAAGAGTTCACATATTCTGTGATTTCTAAACATTTAACCATCAACTGTCTCTGTGAAATGCTGTCGTCCTTCATAGTTCAGAGAAAGTTCAGATGCCTTCTGTGAAAGCCCAACTTTCTTCCTTTCTATCCTCAAAATTAATTTGTCTTTTCAGAAGTCTTGATGGATGTTTTCTTTGTTTGCCTCTCCATGTTGCTGCTTGATTTGATAGATTTCATTTTCTAGTTGCACAATAGTCCGTTCAATCTCATAATTCTTACTGACCAGGGATACCCAATTTGATTCCATTTCTCTCAATTTAGATCCAGCTGTGAGTTGCATGTTCTTTCGCTGCCAGTTTAAATCCTGAATATGTTTTCTTAACTTCTGAAGCTCTTTCTGTGCATGTTCAATCATATGAACCAGATTTTCATTATATACTTTCCAGGCATTACATCCATGCTGTGACATTAGTTCCAGATTCTCAATTCGAACTGCTTGGTGCTCTAACTGGGCCATAGAATTGTTTACACATTCTTGCCATGCAGTAATGTCACTTTTCTGACCTGAGGAAGGGGCTGGAAGCTCATATCGTTTCATACTGAGCAATTCAATTGGTTGTCGAGCAGCCAGTCTTTCAAATTCATTTCTCATTATGTCAGTTTCAAAAGCAGAATAATCTGGGGCTGTCAGGTAGCTCAGGTAGTTTTTAGTTAGTCGATACCTGCGGGTGTCCTCCTCCACCAGCGCCGCAGCCGCTTCCCTCACACCAGGTGCTTCGTAACCTTGATCAAAATACGGCAGCGCGTCCACCACAACTTCTTCAGCCACCAAGCCCGTGCCCGCCATCACAAAGAGCTTAGCACCACGCCTCAATATTACTGAACTTCTAATGAAGTTCTTTCAGTGAAGAATTGCTTGGATATAGGAAATATGGGCTATAACAATTAAAATAATCTTGCCAAGAGTAGCTAATTTGGAGCAAGTTATCATTTTAAAAAATGATGCTGAAAATTATAAGCAATATTTACTGCAATTAATTGAGGAAAACATATTATTTTGTTTCTTTCTTAATATCCTTTATTTAAGTTACAGGCAATAAATAGCATTTAGCCAGCCAGGATTTCTGCAGCACTCATTTTCTGCCTACAGTAATGTTTAGAAAAGAAAGGTTTTTCCTTTCTGAGTGCTTAGCATTTGGTGACTATGAAAAAATCAGGGCTTTACTGAGGCAGTATTGTCTTAGTTCAGGTTGCAGTAACAACACACCATAGACTGGGTGGCTTATAAACAACAGAAATTTATTTCTCACAGTTCTGAAGGCTGGGAAGTCCAAGATCAAGGCACCAGAAGGTTCAGTGTCTGAGGAGAACCTGCTCTCCGGTTCGTGGATAACATCTTTTCACTGTGTTCTCACATGTTGGAAGGGGCGACGGGTGGCTCCAGGGCTCCTTCTATAAGAAAAGCTCTGCCCCCATGACCTGATCACCTCCCAAAAGCTCTGGCACCTAATATCATCACCTTGGGGGTTAGGATTTCAACATATGAATTGCGGGGAGACATAAACATTCAGACCACAGCAAGCATCTTAAGCAACTAATGGTATAAGAAGATTAAATTCTTTTTCTTTTCAAAATATAACTTTTTTTTTTTACACAAAGAAATGAAAACATCTGGGAGGTGCTCTGAACTGGAAGGGGGTTGGGAGGGCTAGTCCCCAGGTGTCTGTCTCTTTAGAGGGTGCATGGTCCTGGGCAGGCCGGAAGAAGCACCGAGTCCAAAGCTTCCCAAGGCACCAAACCATGAGGAGACAGTTTAGTCCTGACAAACTCCACCTCCGCTTGCCAGATCTAGCTTGTTTCATCCCCACTGACCCTGGCCTAGCTCAAGTATCTTTCCAGCCCTATTCTGTCTCCTGTTGTCTGTGGCTTCTGCCCTCCCAGTCCTTTCAATACTCTGTGTTTGGTTGGTATCAGAACGATTTTCTGATTCTATGTCTGATTTCTTTTTTAATCACAATAGCTCCTCGGACCCCTCAGAACTCCCTGGTGCACCTTCCTCCTTCCACTGTCAATATTCTGGCTAGCAGAGGCTCGGTAACAAGTTTCCTAAGTGCTCACTGTCCATCTATTTAATAACCTACGCTAGAATCTTGCCAGGCATCAACCTCGCGTTCATTGATCTGTGTTTCCAAGATCCATCCTTCAAAATCCAACTTTTTAAAAATCGTGGCAATATTTTCCTACTTCTGGCAGCTACACTCTTACCCTTGAACTTCAAAGCTTACTCAAAGAGTGAACAAAGCTCTGAGAATCTCGGGAACAATTCATGTATACCTGGAGTTTTAAAGACATTTAAGTAAGCACAGCAGTTTTCCATAATTGCCTCCCTTAAGGTGGTCTTTTGTGCCCTCTTAACCGCATTTACTTTATGAGTCCCAGTTTAAGTATCACTTTTCTTGACAGAGAAATAAAAAAAACAGTTGAGTTCTGTCTTTTCTCTGCCATCTGTTAGTATTATACCATCTGCCCCAAGCCTTGGCCATATCTTTTTTGTTGTTCTTGCTCTGAACTTAGCTTAAGAAAAAGATCACTCAAAACCCTTTAAAAATATTATTAGCACATCCTACACTTGAGTTTTTCTGAGATTATCCTTCTAGGTTTATGTCACTCTCACATATGAAATTTCACCTTGAAATTTTAGATCCCCTTTTATCTACTATGTGTTTCCCTGAAAACATCTGTTAATTGAAATGCACACTGGGTAGAGGAAACAGCAGGAAGCACGAAAAAGGAAGTGCTTTTCTAATACCTGGGTTATATGTCTGACAAGTCCCAGCCTTCACCTCATGGGAACATAGTGTTTCCTACGTTCTGTTTTCTTCCATTTTGTCTCTTCTTCTCTTTCCACCTGAACGCCCTTCAGATTCTCAACTCTAAAAAGCGTAGATTTCTACATATTTCTCCCTGTGCCTTATGTTCCATCTTCTTCATCTGAGCCAGAAATGTTCTTCCATTGCTTGATTTTAGCCTCAGGTGCCACTCTACCACACTGGGTGATAATCATGAAATCATCTTTACCTTCAACTGCTAGTATTTCAAATCCCCTTTCTCCATTGTCAATGACCATATATGAATAACATCCAAGGCTATAATTATTCTTCCTTCCACCCCTCTTCCCTCCCTCTTCTTTCTCTCTTACTCTTCCTTTAGCAAATGTTTATTGAGTGGTTACTCCATGACGAGTATCCAGGATATATCTGTGAATGGGAATTTATAGTCTTAGGAGCCTATAGATTTTAATAGAACTTTGATAGTATTTAATGTGTTCATTTATACAATTTAACTGGTGAGTATTATTTTTTGAATTCCTAGCACACACATAAAAACAGGCCAGAAAGTAAAATAATCAAAGTGAAATGGCATAGTGAGGTATCAGTTTATGGAAAGCAAGTCGGCTTTGAGATTAGGTGGATCTGGATTTAAAACCCTGCACCAATCTCTCATAGTTAGACTTAGGGGTGTTACCCCCAGTCTCCTCGTCTATAAAAAGGTGATACTGCCTTGTAGGATGGTTATGAGAAATGGAGATGTGTGTGTGTGTTTGTGTGTATATGTAATATAAACTGGATATGGTACCTACAGGATGGACCAAAATATAATCTATCTTATCTATATAACAGAAACTCATTAGTTTCCCCAAATTATAGACCTCTTTCAACTGAATATTCCCCTTAAATGATATGGTACTTTTCTTTCCAATAAATTAAGGAACAGGTTTCTATATCTAATATCCCACAGGGGGAGTCATCACCTTTAAAGTTTAACTATTGTACCTTTGACTATTGTCATATTGTTTTAACTAAGAAATTTTGCTTAAAATGTTTGAGAGGATTTTTTTTTTTTTTGGAAGTATTTAATGACCTGTTGTTCTTTTTACTTCATGGACAAGAATCATATATAGGAGAAAGTGGTACAATTACAATATTGATTTTAAGCTTTTAAGCTCTCTTAGCATCTGTATTAAAATCTCACCATATGAATCAGTGTGGGCAGAAAAGACTTTCAGGCATTATTATGTTCTTAAAATTGGTATAAAACAGGCTGTTACCTTAGCCCTTCTTATTTTTTCCAATGTGTGCCTCATAACTGGGTCAGTTTTCAGAAAACAAAGCTGCTTCCTTCCTGGGGTCAGTTTTGCCTGTCACTGAGCTCGGCTCTGCATCTGTGACAGACACACCTCCACTGCCCACATCTGCCGACCCACATAGATAAGCCTTGGCCATCCAGTGGTCACATCCACTGTCGTGGGCCCTCCTCACTCGTGCCATCTGCTCCTCCTGTGACCCAGGCTGGTTTCCAGCCCCTGCCACCCAGTTCTGTGAAATCACACTCCTGACCTTGAGACGTGTGAGTTTCTGGTCCATACCTTGATGCCCTTTAAAAACTCTGGCTTGCATTTATACTAACAGCTCTCTTCACGTGGGGTTTTCTCAGTAGTAAAACCCACACCATTTGGGCATTTGTTCACTCAATAAATCTTTATAAAACAGCCAATATATGTCAAGCAGCCTACTTTGAGATTCAGTTCTTGAATTTGTTCCTTGTTCCCCAAACGAGGACTTAGACTACCCTTTTCCCAGCCCCTTCTATTTGTAGTTACCACGATGGCTTCCACCTGTTATTCAGTCATGCCCAGCTCTTGAGCTAATACTGATCATTAGGAGATGCAGCTCTCATGGTGGATTGAACCTGTAATAGTTCTTTCTGTTCAGACCAGATCCAGTGTTCCTGGAATGAAGTCCTGCATTGCAGCCCTCTCTTACTTCCTGCTGTATTGCCCAGTCCATACAATGATGTCTATACCTCAGTTTTCTCAATTCGCATCCTAGCCTCCCTCCCAGCCCTGGGATGTGCCTTAAGTCAGTCCGCTTTGGGGGGTGGTTCTGACTCACCTGGCTCCTGCCAGTATGTCTCCACCATCACTGCCAGTACCAGCTGTTCTGTGCATTCACACGGAGTCTTGTCCTATGTAGAACTGGATCATATGACTGGTTTTGAGAACTGCCTGTTGCTGGTCTCATCCACCAGACTGGATCTTGTGTAACACCCTCTAGAACCAAAACACACTACGTTGGGCCTTTTTAGTGTGTCACATGTTCCTGAGGTCTTTCAACTCTCCCATTCCTACCCTGCTGTGGTTTTCTTCTTGATCCCCACTTCAGCCATATTGCTCAGTCACAGCATGTCTCGGGCCTGAGCCTGCCTGAGCTAGGACATGTGCCAAGGCTCAGACAATCATATAACTTGACATCTAAATCAGGGCAGTTTCGAAAGTAAAATGCAGTCCTATTAATAAGTTCACCAGGGCAACAGGTATCAGCAGGAACTGTCCCAGGCAAACCAGGTGACCTAACCACAACAAACATATGATAAATACCCTATATTCTGCTTTTATAAATCCCTCTTTCCACACTAGAAATGGTCTTATAAGAAGCTCATATGGTTTTAAAATCTAAATATTTATCATACCAAAATAATAATAATTATACCAAATTATTATACCAAATAATAATTATCATGCCAAAATAATATTATTATACCAAACAGTTATTTTTGTTAAACATGCATACTAATGAATGCTATCAAACGACTATAGTTAACAGATCAACTCTTTCATTTTCCCAGGGTCTATTTTGTGGCTAATGTTATCCAACACAGATGCTAGCACAGAGTAGTTGTGTAAAAAATGTCTATTGAATCTGACAGGTTTGTAAGGTTACTTTTCTGCACCAAATAAATGTGTGAAAGGGAGCTATGTAAAGATTTAACCATAGTAAGTTATATGAG